TGGAAATCTGGTCCAGTTCAAAGATTCAATTAATCCTACACTGTATGTGCCTAGGGTCTCACCCTGACAGCTGAGACAGGCCACCCCAATTGACTTGGTGGCACAACAGTGTCAGTCTTATCAAGATGGGTCTCCCCAGACCGATCCACTGGCTATGAACATTCTAAATTAACACGAGTCTCATTAAGTGTTCAGTTTAAGGGTATTACATAAAAACATAAAAGGGAACATGAATCAAATATGCACTCTTATTCATTTACAATAAACTAATAAAGTACATTATTCTGATCGAAGGTAAGGGCATACAAAACTATCCAACAATAAAATGGCTGAAATCTTACGGGGGTGTTTAATAGACTAGGAGGGGGCTGCAAAAAAGATTTCTAAAGGGGAATGCAGTCCAGATATCCCTAATAAATATTGGTGAAACTACAGGGGTATCTATGTAAATGACCCAATGATATTTTCTTCTCTTTTCTTACTTCCATTTTCTGCTCTATTCGATTTTTGGAAAGAAGGAAAGACGAAAGAGTAAAAGAAAAGGAAGGGAAAAGTGGAAAAGGGGCACTTTCTCACGATTCTTCTCATAGAAAAGGAAAGACATGATAGTATATGGCGATGAATGAACAAAGAAAAAGAGAGAATTTTGAAATTATCGTGAGAAGAAGTAGACCGGAAAACAACAAACAAGGGAATGTGACCCCACTGGCTTTTTAGCTTTGGAATCAAACGGGGAAGATCAATAAAAAAAATATAGGCAATAGGCAAAGGCAGGCGTTGCGCACTTTTTATCGTTCACTTGTTTTATTAGTTTTGGAAGCTGAGATGGATTTCAGAACGCCCGGGCGAACTGTCGGAATATTTTTTCGTGTTCTTATTGCTTCGCTGCCTGTGCCCCGTAAGGCGCCCCCACTCCTCCCTGTTTCCATCCAACTTCGGCCTTCTTAGCCTCCAATTCTGTCTTTTTTCTGCTCTACCTGAGAATTACAAGTACGTTTCGATTTTTTTTTATCTGGTTTGTTTTGACTCTGTGGAATCATTGGATATAGAGCTTTTTTTGTTTGATATGATTCGGCTTCTTCTTTAAGAATTCGATTTACCGATTTTGATTTTGTTATGTTGGGTTCTTCATGTTTTTCAATCCTTATCAGTTCGAGTTCGAATTGGGTTCCTTTTCTTTTTGATGGAGTCTGCGACTATGTGCTGGTGTCTCTGTTATTCTACTTGTTTTTTTTTTCTTTGTATTTTTTGGTTCAAAAATTTATTTTTAATCGATGGGGGTAAAAGGGAAAGGATAGTGTTGTTTACGTTTCTTTATTATCTTTGGAAGCTCGAAAAAATGCGAAATTGTTAGATGGGTAATGTTCAGGGTTGACTGATATTGCCCCGCTCCCCCTTGTGTTGTGGAATTTTGTGTTTTATATGAATATGCATGCTGATTATATGCTGAGCTTTGTCGTTATTATCTTTTTTGGTTTCTAGTTTTATTGTTCTATGCGTGCTTGATAATTATTTATCAAGCTATGATTTGGTGACTTTGAATTCTTAAATTCGGTTCTTCTACATTTCTGGAAGATGAAATGAGATCATTGATCTCAAGAAAGAATTTTTACTTATTTCAAGATAGAGGCAAAATAGTTGGTAGAATATTCGAGGTTTGGATGATTATAGGAAGGGGATGCAAATCCCAAATTTGTCCTTGGGATACTGTTTCTTTGTTTCAACGGTGGCTATACTAAATAGGCAACTGATTTCTAATTTGAGAGTTAAAACCCGGTTCATGGATTTTTTCGAAAATAAAATACAGAGGTTTTATTTCCACGTGAATTGTAATCTTGTTGATTACATGTGAACACGAATTGGTGTTGGAATTTGAATCTGTTTTAATGCTTGAAACATGGGTTTCTGCTGGCTTCTCTGGAAGAACAAGAGAATTGAATAGTGTTTATTTCTCCTACTTCCTCCCCCCCACCCCCACAAGAAAAAAAAAGAATAATGTTTATTTTGAAAGGGTTACACCTTCTTGACGTGTTCAGTAGGTGCAGCCTTGAGCAAACCTTCTGTGTTTTTGTTCTTTATTTCTGTATATCTCATGATCCTTAGATTACATTTGTTTCACTGTAAAATAGGCAGCAATGTTTTCACCCTGTAAAATTTCAGTTGCATGTCTGTCTCTTTCATGGCCAAAGCTTTGTCTTCCACCTCTTTTACATGGAAAGAAGCACAGCCATAAAACACCATAAAAGAGAATGTGGAAGATTTCTATAACTGGCCATGACTAGGGATCTATGGTTACTGCTTAATCCATTTGTTCTTTTATATCCAAAACTCTTTTTGTCTGAGTATCTCCAATCTTTTGACCTTCTATTCAATATTATAAGGACATTTAAATGGTTTTGTAGAAGTCCAAATGATATTGAGAGTCCACTATGGTTAACTATTATCATTGTAACTTGTGAATTTTGAAAATGAGATGCATCACCTAGGTTAGGGGCCATTTGCTTGGTGTAGTGGTAAAAACATGCCAAAGGTTAAATCTGGATGCAGTCCACCCTTCCCAAGACCCTAGATAGCTGGGTAATGGCCTTTTACAGGCAACACCTAAGGTTAAGGCCTCCAAGTATACATACGTTTTGTAGGTCTTATTCTATTCCCAGTTTCCATAGCCTCCCCAATCATGGAACTCTGTTGGATTGGTAGTGGCAGAATTGCATTTTATACTAATTAACAGCCTTCCAAAGATTCTTTTAGCAGGGGAACATATGCCATTGCAGCCTTCCAAAGGTTCTATTTCATAAATCAAAGTTTTACTTAAGCCTTTTAGCAGGGGAACATATGCCATTGCAGCTAATTATATCTAAGATTCTTCATGAGTTGCAATTAGATTTAAGATCCTAGTATTTTTGATGTGCACACCGGTCACCAAGGAGACTGAGACGTGTCAGAATTGTCAGATAGATATACATTTTTAAAGCATTGTGGATGTCTATGAAATCAAGCATCAATGTATTGTCTTCTTGCTGACACCCTGACACCCTGCGCCTGGTACCCCCCCCCCCCCCAAAGAAAAAGGAAAAAGAAAAAATAATAAAAAACAAATCCAGCTCTGCCAAACACTTGTTTGGGCTTGGCACTGGCAGTGCAAAACAAGGCCATTTCTGGTGGAATTATCATTTTGTATATAAAATATCTATAACTAGTTCATGATTCACGTATGAAGCTTCTCCTTTATGTTGCTCTAAATTCATTTATAAAGTTGAATGTTTCTTGCGTTGAGATTTGAGAATATCATTAACTCATAGGTGCTGTCAATGTTATCATTTGTATAGGGTTGTTTGTTATGCCATTCAAACTTGAGAGTATATTTCAGTTTATTCAATATCTTCTCCAAGGCAAATATCTTACATTCTAGGGTGATTCTTGCTTATTGATATTCTGCATTCATGCATTCTTTTAACAGATGCCAAAACTGATGAGAGCTCTGTAGTACTACATTTTGGATTCTGCAATGAAGCCGCTAATAGGGGCTTAATTTGGTGAGTATTATTAAAACAGAGTTGTTGAGCCATAGCAAACCAATATTAGGTGGATGAATCTCAGATATTGTGTGTATTTCTTGATATGCGGAAAATAATGGAGGAATACACTACTTTATCCTTTCAGAGATTGGGTGCAAGGCAGCTCAGTAACTTGGTAGCATCTGGTGCCATGTCTTCATCTTTACCAGTTCTTCCCACCCCTCTGGAAGAGAAGTATCCCAAATTACCAGATTCCCAACAAGTTTCATTGGAAAGGGAAATAATGGCAAATTCTGTGCCTCCACATGCAACTCAATTGGCCTCCAACAGTGGGGTGGTTGGGCACATGTTTTCATCAGCTTCAGGGTTCACAACAGATCTCCATTTCTCTTCAGCACCCCATGAGAGGCATTTTACAAATGCTCCATTCATTTCTCAGTCATCGAGTGATGGGATATCTTTGCCACTAACACGTTCTTCTCATTCAGGAGTATTTCAATCTAGGCCAATGAGTCATTACCCTAGAGAGAACAACAATATTTCCTGGTCTGCAGATCAGTTGCAGAGTTTCCTTGATTTTCCTGAAAATGTTCCTACCCAGAACAATCAAGTAGAGAGTAGTAACAGTGGTATCATGCCGTCTGATGATAATACAAAACGAAGTGATTGGCAGGAATGGGCAGACCAATTAATCAGGGATGATGACCCTTCGACCCCAAATTGGAATGAGCTTCTTGCTGACACCAATGTTGCAGATACTGAACTAGAGGTTAGTTTTTTAATTATTTATCCAAAGGTATTGCAATATGTAGGGTAAAGGTTATAAATCTTCTTTTTCTATCAATTTTTAAAAAGAAAAAGGGATACTTGTGGAACTCATGTTTGTCCTTTATTTTCTTCTGATTTTATTTAGACAGCATATCAGGCACCGAAACCCCCTCAAAATTTCTTGGTGCAGCAGCCTCAAGTTCATCAGCAGATTCCTGTTCTTTCTGGAGATCTTTCGTCTGTGGCTAGCCCTTCTTCATCAGTCACTGGTGTTCCAAACAAGCCACGTATGCGTTGGACCCCAGAGCTCCATGAGTGCTTTGTAGAAGCTGTCAACCAACTGGGTGGCAGTGAAAGTGCGTAATATACTGGATCATATTTATTTTTGGATTTAATTGGAGCAAGAGGACTAATGGGGCTTCTTCTTTTATTGTGATTTTTTGACTTGCAGGAGCTACACCGAAGGGTGTACTGAAACTTATGAAAGTTGAAGGCTTGACCATCTACCATGTAAAAAGCCACCTGCAGGTCTATTGCCTTCCCCAAGATGAAGATTGATTTTCTTTTGGAGTTGACTATCTATTCTCTTTGTATTAACTGGAGCTTCCTGTTTCTTGAATTGCAGAAATATAGAACAGCTAGGTATAGACCAGACTCATCAGAAGGTAAATAACAGTTGACTTGTACTCTTTTATCCATTTTTGATTGGATTGGATGTTTTACCATATTGTTATAACTATATTATTTTTTTGATAATAAGGAATATTGTATTACTCAAAAGGAGGGAGTCCCTCAAACTAATTACTAAGGGAAGCATCCAAGCCACATAAGCCAGAACAACTATTACAAACAGTGTTTTGAAAGGCATGGGAGGCATATGCTTGGAGGCGCACCTCCAGGTGAGGCACCCCCAAAACACCCTGAGGCATTGATGCCTCTGCTGTGTATGCCTCATACACCTTTTGCATGAAGTGCTAGAGGTTTATGCCTCATGTCCCTCATGCACTCCTCATACTAAAAGACAGAAAGAAATAAAAAAAAAGAAAAGAAAGGATGGGGAAGGAAAAGAAAGTGAAAGGGAAAAGAAAGAAAGAAAGAAAGAGAAGAAAAAAAGAGATAAGAAAGAAAGGAAAAGGGAAGGAGGCTTATGCCTTTCAGCTAGTATTATACATTTTCATTCTTCTTAATATAAAAGATATTTATTGAAAAGAAAAGAGAAAGATGAGACCCCTCCTTCTTCTTCCTCCTCATCCCCCTCCTCTTAAGGAGGCTTTTGCCCCCTTGTGTTTGGGAGGATTATGCCTCTTACGTTTTGAATTACGCCTCATGCCTCCTAGTAATGGGATGTCTTGCGTCATGCCTCTGCATTTTAAAACATTGATTACAAAAAGTATACTGACTGTATAAAATGCATCCACTATTCATTTTTTTTGATCAGTGAATTGTAAGATTTATTAATTCATAGCCAATGATGGTACATTTTAGGGAGAGGCACGAGATGCTATCTCCCCTTTAAGGAGGGGAGATGGAGGAAACCATCAACCCTTTAGTTACTAAACATAACAATGGACAAAGAAAATTACAGAGAAGCCCAATACAAGGAGACCCGAGTAGCCCCTTGTTTAGCAAGATAATCAGCCAAGGCATTAGCCTATCTACCCAACCACTGAAATCTAACTGTCATGTCCCTCAATAGCCATTTGACCTTTTTTAAGATATCCTTAAACTCCCAAGTGACAGTACCCGGGTCAGCCAAGCATCCTGCTACCACCTTGGAATCTCCTTCAATTATTAAGTTCTGCACTCCAAGTTGATAAGCAATCTGTATCCCTTGTGCTGCAGCTAGGAGTTCAGCTCTCACAGAGTCTCCTATTCCCATCGGTCCCGAAAAAAGGGCAATGATGTTGCTGTTCTCATTTCTCAGTACACCACCAATCCCAGACGGTCCTGGGTTACCCTGACTACTTCCGTCAAAGTTCAGCTTAACAAAACCCTCCATCGGTGGAGTCCAAGTTACTTGAACTCTAGGCTTCCTAGAGGAGGTGAGGGAAACTGTAGACCAATTCCTCATTAAATCATCAAAGGAGTAAAAAGAGCTTTAAAGATTTCAGCCACAAAATAGTCCTTGTAAGAATATACTCCTTGACCTCAAGAATGCTTCTTTCCTTCTCTTGAAAATTTATAGAACTTCTCTCTTCCCAAATAGTCCAAAGGAGAGCTGCTCTTATATACTTCAACATAATTCTCCCTCTTCTTGTGGTCCATACAAAGGTAGATGGGGAAAACAACAAATTTACCTCAGTTGGCAAGTTCCACCTGCACTCAAACAAATCAAAAACCCAGTTCCAAATGGCTGCAGCAAAAGGACAAGAAATCAATAAGTGGTAACAGTCTTCAAACTGCGCTTTGCACAAAATACACCAGTTAGGGGATAAACACAAGAAGGGTCTTTTCTTCTGCATGTTATTCATCGTATTGATTTTATGTAGAAAACTTCCCAGCAAAACACAACTATTTTTGGGGGAGTAGGCCTAGACCAAACTTCCTTAATTGGGAAAGCCCAAGGAGAGGAACTAGAGCAAAGGGAATTAAAGAAAGATGCACAAGTAAACGGCCCTTTTGTAGTCAAAGTCCAAATCCTCCTATCAGAATGGAGTGGGTCCAAACAAACAAAATCAAGTAACAATAAAAGCTTAGAAGCTGATAAGGATTCCTCATCCTTCAACCCTCTACGGAAGTCAAGGTCCCAATTTGTAGACAAAGGGGTATACGGGGACAAAATAAAGGAAGACACATGTTCTTTTTTATAAAGGGAAATGAAGAAGAGAGGGGAACAAATCCTTAAGAGGCAAATTTCCCACCCAAGTGTCTTCCCAGAAAAGAACTTGAGTCCCAGAGCAAGCATCATACCTTTCAAAGTGGAGGAACTGGGGGAGGATGCCATAAATAGCCTTCCAAGGTGTTGCAAGAGTTGCCCACCTTGATACCCCTTCATCCCAACCATTTCCGGAACAGCCATGGGTACTCACCACCACTGCATGCCATAACCTCTCCCTCTCTAAAGGCCATCTCCACAACCACTTACCTAGAAGTGCTACATTCTTAATGCATCCACTATTAATTCATTTACAGAATAATAAAAAAAAGAATCCTCTCCCATTGATTTGTGAATTGCTTCTTTTTCATGCATGTGAACTCCTGCATAACATTAGTACACTCAATCATGCACCTCTCAATCTTCCCAATCAGGCTTTCAATCTTTGATTGGATCTGTATGCACATGATTGGTTAGAAGTCCTCCATAGGCTACATTGTTTAAACTGTAGGTACAACCTACAAAATGGTAAATTATGTATAACATCAAATTCAAGGTTAACATATCAAAGCATAACAACAGCCGGGCTGGTCACCAAGGTACACCCTTCAAAATGATCATTACCTGTGACATTAGGGCATGCCAGATATGCTTTTTGTAGCATTGTACATGTCAGTCCTACATACTAAATTCTTTAAAACACTGCTTTTTATTGGTAATTTTCTCCCCACCAATATTAGTTATTCAAAGTTATTTTGAACTCGTGGGAAGATCTTTTGGGCCAAATTGTTGCACATGGGTAAGGAAAGGAATATGGGGAATCCTTTTGGGCTCCAATCCTTTTGCCATGTGGAAGATTCTTGGGTTAATTAGGGAATCTCACTAGGTGACCTAAGTGGCAAACTTGTCCTATATATATATATATATGTTTGAGCAATGTTTGTTAATATACTATATCTAGAAATAAAAAAGTCTCAAAGCTGCCTGCACATGGACCCAATTTTGATTGGTATTTTGTAATATCATTGGTGATTGGTGAAAAAATATCATTTATGATTCGTTTCTTAATGGAAGAATCATAGGACTGTTGTTCACTGGTAATGGATGTGCTGTTGAACTTGGAGGATTATTGGTTGCTTTTTATTTATTTTTCATTTTTGATGAATCATTTGTCTCTTGAATTTGATGTTTCTGCTGATATACCAGTCTTTTTCTGCTAAGTTCGGTGATGAATTGACATGTTTATTTGTTCATAAGCGTTTGCATATGAAAAGATTGACATTTACAGAAATATTTCTGAAGTCTTTGTTATCCTTCTCTTCTTCATGCAGGATCTTCGGAAAAAAAGATGTCTGCTATTGAAGAGATGACCTCGTTAGACCTGAAAACGTAAGTTAGAATTTCCCATAATTTTTTATTAAACTGTTAATTATATTCAGTAATGAAATTTATGATCATGTACAAAAGCATGTGCCATGCACCCCATGTACAGTAGCCTCGGCTAGCCTTCTTACATATTTTAATACATAAAGAATTCCTTCACTCTTGGGGTATAAATTTCAATCCATTTCTTGTCAGCTTATGTACATGAATGCAAGGTTCAAAGTATTGGAAAAACAATTTTAAGAGATGTATCGGGATATGCTTTGGATATGCATAGATCCGGACGAAAAACCAAGATATGCATGGATACACTATGAAACTCAAATAAATCCTAAAAACTATATTAATAACAATACGAGGTTTATATGACCATACATAAGTTATTTAAACATAAAAAACCTACTTTAATGGTTTGTATGAAGTGTGAGACATCAGGACACAATTGGTAATTGTTGAAAAATGATAGAAAAACTAAACTGTGTACATATGCACCTTGATTTTCAGAAAATCAATATAATTTTTCTTAATATGTAAATTTTAATAATCAATTTTAGCATTTATTTACAAACATCTAGGGGTGATCACATTGGCCCAATCCATATATTTAAATACATGTATTATATATATAATATTATAATATTTATATATTATAACATGACACTTATAATATATATTATATATAATATTTTATATTATATGATGTATCAAAAAAATTATATGCATATTTTATGCCATTTAATATAAAATATTATATATGTAATATTTTATATATAAAAGACTTAGAACTGATCTGACCCATAATTACCCTACAAACATCCACTAAAAATAAAAAGTTTGTTTAAGGATCAAAATGCTTAAAATTTAGACAACAAAATAGATTTCGGCGGAGTGGTGGACTCATAGTCATTACAAACTAGTGACCTGGGTTCAAACCTTCTTATAGCCTACTTAAACTTTTACACCCAAAATTATGTACAATAGGCGTTAAAATGGCATGCCAAATTTGGAATTCAAATTCAAAACTTGCCTTAAAGATTAGACAGAGAGAGAGAGAGAGAGAGAGAGGGGATTAGCGATAAAAGAAACATTAATGAGAGAGGGAGTGATTAAAGTAATTAATGAGAGGGGGACTAATTAATTAGAAAGATTAGCAATAAAAGAAAGGGGAGTTAGTAATTAGTAATGTATCGATTGATACATTAGAGTATTGGCTTGTATTTGGTCTGTATCGGCCTGATATAGATAAAAGAAATGGAACACCTGCTTTCTATATGCTCCGTGTACAAAGGTCTTTATTTGAACGATACATACTGGCTGATGCGTTGCGAAATTTTGAACCTTGCATGAATGTGATATGTTGAATTCCAGAGTTTAACACTAGTTCTCCACATAGCATGTTAAACTGACAAGGTGAGTAGGTTCTGTTTGTTACTTCACATGATCCTTGATCACATAGTGCTTTGGTTTGGGAGAAAAAGGAGCGGTTACCTGTTCAGGCTAGTCATCGTCATACTTCATGCAGTAAATCTGTATGTTTTTATTTGAAAAAATGTAAGCTAATTGTATTTATTTATGTAATTCTGGCCATAAAAGTTTCTCTTTGTAGTGCGTGACTGTAGGGGAGAAACATAAACAAGAAGATGGGTTTCTAAATTACTTTCTTTATTAGTAAGGTTTAGTTGTATTAAGTACCAAGATAAGGGGCTGAAAACACCCTATACAAAATAATGGTGTCTGTACTTTGCCACATACAGCATATACAACCATATGCCCAGGGGAGATAGAAATGATATTGTTCTAATCATTTCGAAAAATGATCAAAGACCAAGACCAATCCCCATAAATCTTATAGAATAGAAGCCCAAAAGTATATCAGGTGTCCTACTTTGTTCATGACAGCATTGATCAATCATCTCTCCTGGTTGAAGATTCTTTTGTTTTTTCTCTGCTGATATGAACCAGCACAGTGTTAAAGGAATGGGGTTCCACAGGACATTGCCATTCTTGAACCCCATAACAGCCCAACCTCAATTAATGGTGATAATGAGTCTAGTATGGCCCATTGCATCCCAAACAACCTTGTGACAAGCTGCTATATAGTGTTCTCTGGCATTCACTTTACCTTTCCTGCCAAAATGGTTCCCCCCCCCCTCCACACACACATACACAAAAAAAAAAAAAAAAAAAACAGAAGAGGAGAATGTAACATTAAATAAGTGTAAGACTGCTTTGTATGGGAACTGGGAGTGGCACACTGCATATGGAAAAGTAAGTACCTTGAGTTTTGATGTTCTTTGAAGGACAAGACTTGGCTAAACTCACCATATGAATCCCTTAATGATTTATGGAGGCCTCCCCCCACCCCCAAAAAAAAAACAGTGAAAAAAAGTTCAACAAAGTTGTTAGAAGATTGAATTCAATTTCTAGGCTTAAAGGGTATATGTTTTTCTTTTTGGAGTGGGGAAGCCCACATTGTGATGCAGGAATTTGGGAGGAAAGAAACAAAAGGAGCTTTCAGAACATATCTATAGCAAAAATAATCCTTAGAAAGAAGTTGTTTGGTTCTTGCAACCAGTGTTTTTAATATTGCCCCAGAAAGAGAACCGATTTTCCATCTGGGTGGCAGGTCAGTGGTTCAACCATCCAGGTCAAATGGGTCAATACATGATGTCATAAATTAAATAATAAAAATATAGAAAAATGTAGAAAATTGTCAAAAAAGGAATTCCTCTATTTTTATATGTTCATCATATTAAATAAAATAAGTGTGATACATGAGAATTATTGTTATTAAGGATGGAAATGGCTACAAATACAAAAAATAGAAAAATGAATAAATGTTTAACCTGTGACCCACTGACCAGGGTCAAATGGTTCAGCGGTTCAACTGGCTGGGTCACTGGATCGTTGACAAAGTCAATGGGTTTTTTTTGCAGGTGAACAATTCGGAGTGAAATGGACTGGAAATATGGCTGGGTGAGGGGTAGACTGGTCCAACCGCGGTTTGAAAACACTACTTGCAACCTTACGTGCATCCATCCTCAAAGAAATCTGTGGAATCAGCATTGGGGATCTTTTCAGAAATCTACTGCTGATTCTACAATCTTTCCCCCATTCATCTTAACACAGTTTGAAGTATTTGTTTCATTAATCATCATTTTTCAATGAACAAATAGGAAAGTTTTGGAAACTTGTGTAATTAGAAATCTGGAAAATTTGAGGAAATTGGGAAAAGATTAGAAAACATTAGGAAAACATAGAAATTATTTATTTTTGATCAGCGACAAGAAACATAGAGTTTGTTTATGAAACTTCAGTAAATGTTAAAAGAAGTATAATTAGACATTAAAGGCCTAAAAGGGTAAAAATCCACTATATACAACAAATTGCATACTGATAGAAGTTTGAAAATACTAAATAGAGATCAATGGAACATCTAATTTGTTATCATGAATGGTAGGTATCCTTATAAACCAAATCTAACTCTATCATGATTCATTTCCTTTGAGGTATTTTATAATACTGTGTAGTCATAGTATTACATAATGATATTAATTATTGCTATGATTATTCTAAATAGTTACAGTATTTTATATTAATTATTTAATTAATATTTTAAAAACTCAGAGTTGTTGATTCAAGTGTTTACAATCAACAAAACACTACATACCTTTTCTTAGTTTTATTCAGAATATGTGGTTTGAGTATTTTATACTTCACAACTATTTCCAATTAGTTGTGGCAAAACAGGTGAAATTTCCTTGATGTTTCATCTGAACGTGGAATATTTGCACCTAACAGATAGAAGATTTTGCCTATAATCTGTTTGTATATTTGAAACACTGAGAAGATAATTGGATTTTATTTTTCGGTTATAGGAGATTTTTCCCCTCTGGGGAGATTGGGAAATTTTGGGAAAATTTGCTATATTTTGAGGATATTGCAAATCATGCTTGTTAATGATAAGAGGAGAAAAGTGCTTCAGTTGATACATCATTCTTTTTGGTCCTATGGGCTGAGGAGAAAAGGCCTGTATTTAGAAACCCCTCATTATTCTTGTTAAGGTGATTCTGCCTTTATGTCATCAAATAGGCTGAAGGGTCTTGGGAAGTTCTTGGAAATTGTCCATGTTGAATGAGATATGTCTACATTTGAGATCTTGGAATCATATTTCTAGATGGATTTGTACAGATCAATATTGAATTCAAAAGTAAAGTGAGTCTTCATTATCATAGAGCTTTTTGTATAGCTGCAATGCTTCTACAACTTTGGTTGGGCTTGCTTCTTTTTGTTTTAATGTCCCGTGCCATAATTTCTTTAGCTGTTTTTTCCCTCCTTTTATTAATGGAAATTCAATTTTGTTTCCACTCAACACATACACACATGTCATGTAGCATCAAATGAGTTCTATAGAGGGTTTCATCAATCATTCTGTGTGGACATTTGCAAGTGAGCTTTTGCATCAGATATTGACTTTTTTTTTTTGGTTTAGATTGCCAATGCAGAAGGAGTTGGTTAAAATTGTAACAGTCCGAAGCCTATGGGTTCAATTCAGTTCTCTTGCTTAAAATGAGTTCTGCATTAAATACTGGGTGAATTACTATTGTTTTTTCTTTGTCTTAGATTCTGTTTCATTGACTTATAGCTTTAACTTTTAACGTCTAATATCTGTATTCTGGTTTTATCAAATGGTTTGCATCTGATTTCATTTTATCCCAGTTAATTGTGAACTAGCACATTGAATTCACTTTGGAGTTTTTGACACCATCTCTTTCCAATAGCAGGGGCATTGAAATCACTGAAGCATTGCGACTGCAAATGGAAGTTCAGAAGCGCTTACATGAACAACTTGAGGTATGGACCTATGACTGAGAGAAGTGTGCCTTCTTTTAATTCACAGGTGGATACATAATGGAGAAGCACTTTTAGTTAGGGATCTCATTTTTTCTGTTAGAGTCGGGCTGAGAACTGTATATTTGGCTCTTGGGCAGGCCCAAGAATATAGGTTGGATCACAACCAGAACTAACAAAGAGGTTTTTCAATTTAAAAAGTTCTGATGGTATGTAGTGCACTAGTTTGAACCAAAACCTCAATAAACAATACATCACCAAGGTCTTAACCACTAAGTGCATTGAGAATTTTGTATTTTAATCTATAAGTAATAAGCAGTGTTTTAAAAGGTGTGGGAGGCGTATGCCTGGAGAGGTGCTTCCAAAATGCCCTGAGGCATATGCCAGAGGCGCTGACACCTCTGAGGCGTACACCTCAGGTGCAAGAGGTGTACGCCACTTGTGCTTTTTTCATGAGGCGTGTTAGAGGCATACGCCTCATGCACATCTGATATAAAAAGACAAAAAAAAAAAAGAAAAAAGAAAAAAAAGGGAAGCGAAATAAAAAGAAAGAGAAGAAAAAAAGAGAAAAGGAAAGAAAAGGAAAGGGAAGGGAAGAAAAGATAAGGGAAAGAAAGTGGTTTGCCCCCTGCCCCTTTGACAATACCTCCTTTCAACTAATGTTATGCATCTTTATTCTTCTTAATATAAAATATTTTTATTAAAAATAAAGAAAAAATGAGATCCCCCCTTCCTCTTCATCCTCCTCCGAGAACCCCCAATTTGGTAATGTTGTTCATTCATTCATCCTAATAAAATGTCTTCTTAAAAAGCAAATAAAACTATAAAATCATTATTTTTTGTGTGAAAACTAAGAATTTAAGACCTAATGTGGGATTGTTTGGGCTTGCCTCAAGGGGCGTGGCACAAAGCCGGCTCGTAGAATCAGGAATGTAATATGTTTTACATTACATTAGCTATGTGAAATACTGCAATTGAGTGAAAAAAGAAATTAGAGGTTTTACATGCTTGAAAATGTTTTATATGTTTGATTTTATTTTTAAATTCTCATTTGAATATGCTTTACATCTTATGTTTATGTATTTTAATTTTAGATAATAGGTTTTTTAAAACATTATTTTAAAATTTTAGTTTATATTTTTTATTAATATTATGTTTAATATTTTTTTTTGATTTTTTTAGCATATTTTTTTGAATATTTTGACTTTTTTTTGATTTTTTAGCATTTTTTTTTATTTTTGCGCCTTGCATCAAAAGGCGCATGCCTCGCCTTGCGCCTTAGGCGCAAATGGACCCCTGCGCCTTGCGCTTTTAAAACACTGCTTTAGTGTAAATGATCCGCCAAAGTGCCTTGACAACTATGTTATTTGCTATTTCTACTTAAAGACATGTAAACATGTAAATACATAATTGTCATGTTGTGTGCAGTCAATTGGTCCCACACCATGAAAAGTTAAGGGCATTTGAGAAGTTCTGTACTAGAAATTTGATACTTATAAATTCTCTAACACAAAAGTCAAATCTGACACCTATCACCTCCAATGTTTTGAAAATCATAATGGTATCATAAATTGTAAAGAAAACCTCGAATTGAATTGTGAATCGTATCTTGAATCATATGATTATTTCTATTTTTTACAAATTTATCAAAAAGTTAAATATAGATATATTAAAAGGCTAAGTATATATAGGAAAGTGATTTTGCACTATTTTTAATCCATATCTACCATATATCTGGCTAAAAACAATAGAATTTACAACTTGAAAGTCAAATAAATCTACATGCAATGACCATTTAACCTACATATGATGCAAAATAAACTCAATGTCTAATCTTGAATAATGCAAATAAACCATTTTCTAGTAGGGGTTTAAAACAAATCTCCCTTGACAGAACTAAATATAAACAAACAAATGCCAAGTACAAAGCTAATTCTTAATTAATAATTAAGTTTATTTGAATTGCAGTGAATTGTAGGAATTGTAAGATTTATGAATCAAATCATGGATTCAAATAAAAATTGTAATTTTTTTGCAGAAAATGATTCAAACATAAGATTCAAATTGAAACACTTGGGATTCATGATTCAAATTGTGAATCGTACCATAAATCATAAAATTTTAACAACATTGATCACCTCATATGCATTCTGTGTATGGAAAGCAGCAAGAGTGCTCATTACTTGTCCCTACATTGGGAAATGGTGATTATTCTTGTCATTATTTGACACTTAGTGGTAACTACCTTCTGATATTCACCGTTTATTTTGGTTTGGTTTTTTCTCCCCTCCCATCCTATGGTCCTTCTGTGGGGAACAGTAGAGTGCTTTTTTTTTTTTTTATTGAAGGTACACCTAACGGATATTCTCATTGACCTTTTTTTTCGTTTAATTCTTTTGATCAGTAATAATGATTAAGAGAGTTAATAGTATAATAGGAAAAATGCCCACAACCTATCAGCTTGACATATTAAATGTTAGCCTTGAGATTGATATACCCCTAATACAGCATGTTTCTTTGGTTCCTGAAACACATGATGCACCACCCAAAACCAGATCCCTTTTGGTTTCTCTCCAACCTCCATAGACTGACTCTTCATATGTAAGTTGTAGCCCATAGGAAGTCCAGTTGTAGCAGTATTGATCCACTTGGCTGGCTAGGGTACTCATTCTAAATCTCTGATGTCCTGCATGCTAGAGCATCAATATCTGTTCTGACAGTAGTTAGTGTTTTTAACCTCAACTTTTCCACTAGAAGTTGTATTGGATGGCTACCCGACCTATGTTAGGCTCCATTTGGTATTGTCCTATCCTTAATCCTTGGCTGGACTTGATTTCAACTTTCTCTTCTCTTTTCTGCTTATTTCTCAGACTTAGTGTTCCTGTACCCTTATTTATACTGCTACATATTTGCTTGATCTATTCATGGATTTTGTAGGGTGGAAAGACTAAATCTTGGTATGTTCTGGTCTTTTTGCTTCCATCCTCCAGATTCAGAGAAACTTACAATTGCGAATAGAAGAACAAGGGAGATATCTCCAGATGATGTTTGAGAAGCAATGCAAAAGTCATAATGACAGGCTCAAGACCTTGTCTTCCAATTTAGAAGAATCCTCTGCTCCATTATTGGATGTGATGCAGCACTCTGCCAAAAATGAAGTGGAACCCACGAAAAGCTGTGCTGAAACAGGAAATGACATTATGGATGCCAGTGCAATACCAGAAGAAAGCTCCAGGAAGATGAGCAGGAAGCAGAAGGAACCTGAATCCCACAGTGAGGATCTCAATCTAGAAGGTGTCAGTGGCTCCGATTCACCACCCATAAAGCGTGTAAAAGCAGATGATAGATCTGTAGCATCTGCTAAATTAGCATCCGATTGACATGTCTTTACTGCTGACATTCCAGCTCCTTAAGTACATGCTAAGCATGGGCAATGAGGATTCCTTTATGATAGGAAAAACCTTTCTGCAGATTTTTTTTTTATGATAGGAAAAACTTTTCTGCTTCGTAGGAGTTTTGGAACATTAGACCTCTCTCTGTCTAATTCTGGGTAAATATTCCTGATACTCAATAAAGAAAAAGTCATTTAAGTTTTGATTAATATGTTTAACTTCCTTATTTGTGCCCCCTCACCAGGAGGGTGAAGGTAGATTGAAACTGGAAATGGGAGACAGCTTCACCGTGTATGCCCAAGATAGGTATTTATTGTAAGGAATTTCTATCGACTTTATTGCTAAAAAGCTTTTGGTCAAATGGAGTAGAGTAACAATATTCTTGCTCAACCCAATGATGCCTAATGCTATTAAGTTGCTTCATTTTTGTACTACAATCTACATTCTTTCTTATTGAAATATATGTTTTATGGACTATGAATTTCATCTGCATATTCAGATGCTGTTCGTATCAGGATGTCTAGGGTGTAAATCCATGTTTTTTGTGTTCAAGGATAGAACTAGAAGTTGCAGTTTGTCTATCCACAGGAATTCCCAGAGTTTATTTATTTATTTATTTTTTTTGTGTTGGGCCAAGCTCTATTTGCTTCAGCCAGAAAAGCACAACAGGTGGGAGAGATTCGGATCCAGAATTCTGAAAAAAGATGAAAAAGAGAAATGGCGACAAGGGTTATGAGTTCTATACAGTAGAAGGAACAACAACCGCATTTGATAGGAAATACTACGAGAGAGGTGACGTTCTCACATTTGATGCAGCAAGCCCCCTTGGGTTACAAAGTTCCAAGAGAAGCCAGAAGGCCGGAACAACAAATCGAACCTCAAAATGATAAAAACATTTTACGTTAGAGTTGAAATAGAATCTAGGAAATTCATCACTAAGAAGGTTTCACCCCAATGCAAGTCATCCCAAAATCTAATTTATTAGATTTAGCATTTTTTAATTGACAATTGGTTAAGAAAACATGGGAAATTTAGAGCTCAGTCCACTTCATGATCGCTCGATTTGAAATTTACAGCACAGTCATCCCATCATTCGACTATTAGAAGTTCTACGCTTGGTTAAAACCTAATTTGAATAGAAGACCCTGTAATGCTGCAACGTCGATAGGCTGACAGCCATGGATAGTGGTGACGAACAATCCAGTCGACATGCATGAGTGAACTGAATTTCGAGGTACCCAATTGGTTCTATCACGTTGGGTCCAATGTGATTCGATCCTGCAGGCTGCAGATGAGCAAATGATTAACAGCAATCCATTTTTAACCCCTGATTAATCCACTGATCTTATATATATATATATATATATATATATATAGCTTTTTAGAGTTGTTAGCAACTTGGCAGGTCTCTAAATAAATCGAATATCAAATAAAATCCTGGTATGGGTCCTCTTGAGTTTTCACCATAAAATTTGGGGGAATCGGGGTTCTCTGACTTCACTACAGCTGAAGTCGACTATCGATCATGGCACACCTGATTCAGAACCTATGAGATCATGTAACATTGAGAAGAAAACTTGATAACTGGGATGGCTTTCTCGAGCGGGGAATACCTATTTATAGTTGGGTGTCCGTGTCCCAGATGGATAGGGATTCCAAGGTTATCGAGATGAGGGGTCCGTTGAGGTATTTGGGAAGTTTCCTCTTCCCTTGTAGAGTTTGCTTTCTTGTTCGTGCAGGATACTCCTTAGTCGTGCGTGGTGTCGACATGGCTTGAGAGAGGGGACAGCCGTAGAGATTGCCACGTGGCATCCTTGGCCAACTCAACCATCACCCGAAGATCACTCCCCCAATTCCAAAGTCAAGGAGTGTAGTGCTCGGTTGCGACTAGGTGTGGAAGAGTTCTGCGTTTCTTGGCTAAGGAACTTTAATTTCTTTGAGTTGACTGACCCAGAGTAAGGCCGGTTTGCTAGGTAGACTGACCAGTTCAACACTCATGCCATTTCGATACGGGTCAGCATATGTGTCATTTCATCTTCCCGAGGTCACGTGCGTGTAAAGGGCAGCGTCGAATCCATGCCGTTGATTTGGACCGTTGGTCTCCCTTATAAAAGGGGAGGTGGCGAGCCATTTTACTTTGTCATTTTGAGTGAGTGATCTTAGGAGCTCGGAATGAAATAGTCCTCGGCTGGTGCTTTAGGTGTTCTGTGGTGTAATCTCTTTGGTAAGATGTATTCATCTTCCTTGTCTTCTTGTTCCTCTTCTTCGTCTAGCTCTTATACATCGAGTAGTGAGTTCGAGCCAGGGTTTCATCCCGAGGCTATTGTGCTCCTGGTCCGTGAGACTGATGCCCACGGAGTTGAGATCGATGGGCCTGAGGGTGAGGGTGCCACGATGGAGGAGGTTGTGGTCATTCGGGAGGCCGAGGTCAGGGAAACCGACGAGGCTGAAGTAGACGTTGTGTTAGAAGAGGGGCTCAGCACCCCGCGCAGTTCGGCAATCACTTTGCATCTTTGCCTTGCAGATTGACTCTCGGGGACTTGGCCTGAATTAGGGCCCTCTACTATATTCTTGAGGAGTACGAGATGAGGTGCCCAGGTATCGGTGAGAGGGCTACCTCAGCTCGGCCAGGGGAGCTTTGTATCTATGAGCACAGTTTGATAGCGGGGCTGAGGTTTCCTTTGAGTGAGGGTATTGCAGCGGAACACTAGAAGGAGGGGTTCTTCTTTGTGCACTACCCATGGGGCTAGTCATTCCCCGCCGAGCTTTCAACCCTGATGACCAAAGTGAAGGCGCCGGTCGAGGTTGAGCTGTCTAGGGAGGAGTTAGAGGCCATCAGGCGGATAGAGAGGGTCGACATGTAGGAATACACGTCGTTCTCAATGTTGGTTCGTGTCGGGCTGATGGAGCCCTCGACTGGTCTTTCTTTGCTTTTGTAAGTGTTTTTTCTTGCTTTATTTCTTCGGCTTTGACTGACTTTTTTTTTTGGAAGGTATGGCATTCGCGGACGAGGAGGAGAGAACCAGACGCATGTAGGCTGCTGCATAGAGGAGGGCGGTGGCCTAGGTTGGGGTGTCTCAACTGTTAGACAGTGTATGCCCTTAGCTCCAATCATATTGATGTACAGATACATTTATTGTAAATGAATAAAAGTACATTATTGTTTCATGTTGATATTGGTGTGTTTCTATAAAATTACCCCTTAAACTGGACACCTATGAGACATGTGTTAGTTTAGATTGTTCCCAGCAATTGGATAGACTTGGGGAATTTATCCTATAAAGGTTGACACTGATGTGCTGTCAAAGAAGTTGGGGCAGTTTGTTTCAATTGCTAGGGTTAGACCCAAAGCACATGTAGTGTATGCTTGGTTGAAACATTAAACCTATACCATTTTTCCAATTACGCCCTAGACCTTGGAGATTAATGGGCAAAATTGGAAAGTTACACATAACCCTTGGACTTGATTATGGTACTGCACTGGGTGTTGTATTGGACTGTCTTTGATATGCCAATCAATGAGATCCATTGAGGGTCAAAACTTGGGTATGTTGGGGTAGTCTGAGAATTCACTTAAGTGGGTGATTATAGTGATAGGATCGACCCCTTTGTCAGATAAAATGAATGATAGGATTTACACTCTCTCTGATGGAAACCTAAATTGCCGGCAGTGGCTTTCAAGTGTGTTTGAGATTTGGTTTTGCAAAATTTATATGTATATATATATATATATATATATTATGTTTTATGAAAAATGTTTGCAAAATGTTTTAATTCCCGGGATCCATCTGAGTAGAGAGTGTGAGACCGCACCTTGCAGCTAGGGGAGAGGTCCTTCCCTGTCGGGCAATGCTTTATCATTATGGGCCGAGAGGTTAAGTGTAAGAAACCATTAAGGGCTGATTACTTGATGTGCTGTATCTTACTTTAGTCCATTATCCTTGGGTCTTCATAGGATGGCTGAATTCAAGGATCATTTAAGTGTAAATGTTGGGCCCGTTTTGAACCCATAATGATGTGCTCAGGGGTTCATTGTGTTTAGCATTGAATTCGACCAGGCCTTAATGCAATTTTTCAAAACATAGGGGATTTGATTCCTAAAAGGATTAGGAAATTTTTGAAATTTCACCCAACCATCTAGCATGGTTCGACCATCCATATGATGGATCCTAACCCTTTCTTCATCAGTAGCAGCACTATCTTGAGGTCACGAACCCTTGATCGAGCAAGAGACCAAGGCTGGTTGAGGGAGACATGGTGGACATTGGCTGCGACGGGTCCCCACCGGGGTCTGTGCCGTAGAGAGGTTTTGAGATCCCATCTCCATGTCTGGTAGAGCCGGCTGTTGAGGTGTATAGACCGAGTTGGAGTGTTCGGTCGGAGGACACTTTGAAGATTGAGGGCGTGCCTAAGCATTTGGCTAGGGGCATTCTGCTACATGGCATCCGAAGAGAGACCAGCGATTGCACGATCAGGTGCTGGAGAGTGCGGCCATCCAGGAGTCCGTTGTAAGATTTCTGTACTGTCTTCTCTATTCTTCGGTTTATTTGGTCGTGCTCATTGACTTCATGTTTCTCATGCTGTCTACGCGGTAATGATGTTGGTCGATAGGATGTGCGCCCTTTATCAAATGGCCAAGGCTCAGGAGGGTGAGTTCTCCCGTCTGCAGGCAGAGATGGCTGAGCTGAGACAAGCGGCGGCAGCCAAGGACAAAGAGATGCAGTGCCTGGAGAGCCATGTTCGTGAGCTCAAGGGGGACTACGACAAGGCGATGAAGGCGGTTGAGTAGGTTGAGGCGAAATTTAAACACGCCGAGGAGGCGGTCACCAGGTACAAGGAGTCTGAGGAGTTCTAGATTGCCCTCGACGATTACGCTATGGATTCCTAGAAGATTGGCTTTGTTTGCTATCAGAGGAAGGTCATGCATGAGCATCTTGAGATCACCGCAGTTGTGGAGTAGTACAGTCCCTTTGATGCTAGGTGCCGCCAGCCGAGCAATCTGCCCTGAACGACAACACTGCCACCCTCGAGGAGGTGAACCTTGCAGATGGCACGATTGACCTAGATTGATTCCTTTTTTTTGTTGTTCACAGCTCAGTATGCCAAGCTTATAATCATTGTATGAACCTTTTCATTAATTGAAGTTTGGTCTTTCTATAGAACACTTTCTGTGTTGTATTTCCCTTCTTTTTATAAGTTGTTGCACTTCGGAATTAGGTTGGTCGGTAGGGACCATTAGCCGTGCTTTTGTACTTGGCTCTTAGGTTAGTCGGAGTTTCGGACTTGATGTTGTGGCTGGGGTCTTTGGCCCTATGGTCTCGATCTCACATTGGCCAAGGTCTTCGATCTTCACTAGCTAAGGTCTCTGGCTTAGTGTCCTCAGTCTTATGCTAGTTGAGGTTTTCGGTCTTCGGTGGTTGAGGTCTTGGACTTGACGCCAGATGGTTGGATTTTTGACTTCATGGCCTAGGTCTCATACTGGTCGAGTTCTTTGATCTTCATTGGTTGAGATCTCCGGCTTAATGGCCTCGGTCTCGTACTGGTCGAGGTCTTCAACTTAGTGTTCTCGATCTTATGTCAGCCAAGTTGCTTCCAAGCTCTCAACGTTGCCACAGAGCTCAGTGGCACCTAGTCTTGGAGAGCTTCACACTCTTTGACTGGGCTAGCCATGGTCCTTGGTTAGCTTTGCTCCAATCTCGTGAGGTCATTGCATTGCAATCGTTGGTCAGCGCGGAGTTCGACTGTAGGACTTCGACCGAGCTATGTACAGGTGTTTGGTTGTTTGTGCTTGAAGAAATTCTTTATTTATTAAATTTGTACAACCCGGTCGCCGTTAGTGCTTGATGTCAATAGTCATCGGTACATTTTAATCCTGGTACTCTAGCTCCTCGGGGTAGATCTTTTGGGTCTAGTTTTCCCTTTTAAGGGCCGTCCAGCCCGATGGCGATGACCCCGACTGGGGGAGCTTGGGCTAGGGGCTCGTCGGCGCGATGCAGTTCTTCTCTAGGTTTATGCTCATTGATGTCGATGAATCCACAAAAGTATCCGCATTGGACGAGGTCTTCTAGGTGGTGGCGAAGGTCATGATAGCTTTTGGTGTCGTGGCTGTGGTCTCGGTCGAAGTTGCAAAACTTGTCTCGATTTCTATTGTTGCCCTGGGTTTTCATCTTCTCAGGCCACTTGACGACGCTATGTTTGAGGAGCGTAGTCCACTCATGATGGTTGTCACAGCAACTAACTGTCTTAGAGCTCGGGCCTGGAGGGTCTCGGCGTTGAACCTCGCCAAGTATTCCCTCGAGGTTTCTCCTTTCCTTTGTCACACTTGCATGAGGCTGGCCGACGTCTTCTAGTGCCTTTGGTTAGCGGTAAACTATGTCAGGAACTGCATCTCCAACTGCTCCCAAGAGGATATGGACCATGAAGGAAGGGAGGCGTACTAGGTTCTGGCGACTTCATGGAGGGTGGCAATGAAGGCCTTGCACATGAGCCCTCCGGAGGAGTTGTGCAACATCATTATTACCTTGTACCCTTCAATGTGATTGTTGGGGTCCGATGCTCCATCGTACTTTTCAAACTGAGGGGGTTGCTAGCCGCCTGGGGAAAGCTCATCAATGATCTCTTGGATGAAGATAACTCTTTTGCGGGCTGGCTACAATGTTGTTTTAAGGGCCGGGCTGTCGTAGGAGCTGCACTTCTATCTTCTTGGCTGTGCTCCAGTTCGGCCAACCACTCTCTTAGTTCTCTGATCTTGCGTCTCTGTTGGCCGAGGACCACGTTTGCGGAAATTTCCCCTTTCGGGATTGTAGGCTGGTCTTGGACCGAGATAGATTCAGCTATCTAGATCGGCGGTTTCTGTAGACGTTGGCTAAGCCGTTATTTCGCCGACACTTGAACGGAGTGATGGGATCTACTACGGGCGTCGTGCGCATGAGGCTGGGTGGGGAGTCAGATCTTCTGGGTGGCTGCGATTGCTCGCGGTTGAATTGGGCCCTGTGCCAATCTGCATGGTCCTCGGTGTGAGGGTTGACCATAGTAGGTGCCTGTGTGGTAGGGCGAGTTGCTTGGGGGGGCGTGAGTTGGTTGCTCAAGTGTCTCCATCATGGCTAGGATACGGTCGACTTTCTGCTGCATGGCTTGGAATTGCATGGGGTTGGCCGCAATTTGATGTTGGGGCTCTCGAGGTGGAGAGTTGTAAAGTGAACGGGATCCTCGGGATAGGGAACGGGCTACATAGCGGTCGGATGTGTTTTTCGGCATGGTTGCTTTAAGTGCATAGAAAGGTGTTTTGGAAATGGATTTTTGTATGTTTCGCATTTACGACGCCAATCTGATGCTGTCCGATCCAAGGTGTTCTGAACCGAGGACAGAATCAGTTAATCCTACCAACTAGACAAGGCCAAGGTGGAAGGACGAAGCCGTTCATCGATATCTACAACTAGGAGAAACGGTCGGAGGCCCGAGGAGTTGTTCCCCGGGTAGGTACTCCGACACTCAAGTTAGTTGGGTAGAGAAAGAAGCGGCTGGGCCAAGTAGGTTGAAATAATGTTGGTCCGGGCCGAAGAGATAGTGTAGAGAGGTATTCAAGGGTATTCTTCCAAAAGTCTCTTACCTCGAGCGAAGAATACCTATTTATACATGGGTGTCTGTCTCCCAGATGGATAGGGCTTCCGGGGTTATCGAGATGAGGGCGTCCGTCGAGATCTTTGGGAGGTTTCCTCTTCCTCAACAGAATCCGCTTCCTTGTCCACGTAGGACACTCCTTCTTAATCATGCATGGTGTTGATGCAGCTTAAGAGAAGGGACGACTATGGAGATTGGCACGTGGCATCCTTGGCCAACTGAACCATCGCACGAAACAATGGAGATGAAAATTTGCTTGAATATAATCAGTCAACCTTCCAATGTAGTCGCCACCACAACCATAAGAATAAGACAAATCCGGCGAGAAAGCAGAACTAGTTTACTTTTCAACCCAACCCATCAACAACCACGTGGCTGATCAAACGAGCTCGACCTGGTAAATTACATTGATCTTCTTCCTGAAACAGTGCAAGTAAATATATAAGTTGTGTTACAGATCACACAGAGCCATGAAGACCCTGTACGTAGCACTAGCACAGCAACAAATTAAAGCAAGAAAATTAGAAGAAGCGGCCATGGAACTCCGCTCTTTCCTCACACTCACTCTGCTCACTTATCTCATCCTCCTGCTACTCATCCCAAACACTTCTGCTTCTCCTTCGTTTCACCGCCGCAAATCTCTCGGCCGAGTTTCTACATCTGACGTTGATTATCTAGAATTCCCCCTAAATTTAGAGTACCTGGAAGCTGAGTTCTTCTTATGGGGCGCTTTGGGCTACGGACTCGACAAAGTTGCTCCCAACTTAACCATGGGAGGCCCCCCACCCATCGGCGTGAGAAAGGCTTATCTCGATTCCCTTACCAAAAATATCATCACCCAGTTCGCCTACCAAGAAGTTGGCCATCTAAGGTTCTTTTCCATCTTCACTCAAATTAATTAATGACCTTTCGTCATTTTATCTTGTTCATGCCATAACTTTCTACTGTTCTCAGTCTGTAATTGGATGAGTTTGGTGATGAATGAACAATTGAAAAGGTAACTTAATCTTACGTACGCAGGGCGATAAAGAATGTCGTCCGTGGATTCCCAAGGCCATTGTTGGATTTAAGCGCTGGATCCTTTGCTAAAGTGATGGATAAGGCGTTTGGACGCAAGTTGCTTCCACCATTCGACCCCTACGCCAATTCACTCAACTTCCTTCTTGCCTCCTACGTCATTCCTTACGTTGGACTCACTGGTTATGTCGGAGCAAATCCTCTCCTCAGCAGTGCTACTTCCAGGAGGGTAAAACATATATCGCTAGTTACAGATTTTGATTGTTAAGCCACGTACTGCATGCAGCACACAGATTTTAATTGATTGTTAATCTACTACTTTTGCGATGCAGCTCGTTGCAGGCCTTTTGGGCGTAGAATCAGCCCAAGATGCCGTCATCCGAGCATACCTGTATGAGCATGCTTACGAGAAGGTGCATCCATACGGAATCACGGTTGCAGAGTTCACAATCCGGCTTTCAGTCTTAAGGAACCAACTAGGGAAAGCAGGCTGGAAGGATGAAGGGATCGTCGTTCCACTGGGAAAGGGTGCAGAGGGAAAAATCTCAGGCAACGTGATCGTGGGAGATGACTACTCAGTTTCATATGACAGGACGCCGGAGGAAATCTTGAGAATTGTATATGGGGGCGCAGACGAGCGTGTCCCCGGTGGTTTCTTTCCCAGGGGAGCTGATGGCCGGATTGCCAAATCTTATTTACACAGTGCTTAGTGCTTTAGAACCTTCCATTTTTGGTAGCTCATAGCTAGAACGCATTGTTTAATGAAAAATTAAAGAGAGCCAAAGTGGTCATTCAGCCACTTGAATGGCTCTAATCTGAAACTTCATTTTTAGCTTTGGATTAGCACAAATGTCCTTTGCTTTTCATTACATGTCACCATTATTATTATTATTATTTCTTATTAAGAAAAGTACCCAATTATTCATTGGCAATCTTTATCCCAACCCATTTGACAACCCATCCATTCTATTGGCTGGTCAATATGGGATGAATAACCCATTAAGGTATGTGGAAAAGGGTTAGGGTTAGGGTGGGTTAGGTTGTGCAGGTCAGGATGGGTTGGGTCTATATTCTCAAAATCTCAGAAATACAGTAGTTGAAGTGACTCAAACTCAGGTCTCTTAGCACACACACACATCTCGTTACAAATCAAAACCACCATGTCACACATTACATTTTTTTTTATTACAAATGAAATAAAATTGCTTTTATTAACCTTTGTGTTCAAATGCAATTTTATACGAAAATACTTTACAAAAGCAATTTTATGAAGTAATTTTATGAAAAGTACTTTTACGAAAACACTTTTACACGAAAACACTTTTACAAAATTACTTTTACACAAAAACACTTTTACAAACATACTTTTATACAAAAATGCTTTTATAGAAATACTTTTATAAAAGTACTTTTACGAAAACACTTTTATGAAAGCACAAAAGCATTTTTATAAAAGTACTTTTGTTAAAGCACAAAAGCACTTTTACACGAAAGCGCTTTTATAAAAGTACTTTTATGAAAGAATAAAGCATTTTTATGAAAGAATAAAAGCATTTTTATAAAAGTACTTTTATGAAAGCACTTTACGAAAGTACTTTTATGAAAGAACTTTTATGGAAGTACTTTTATGAAAGCACTTCTATAAAAGATGCATTTTTTTTGTAATGTTTGGGTAATTTCTGCATTTTTTGCTATTTTTTTGGTATTTTTCCGCATTTTCTACAATTTTTTGGTTCTTTTTTGCATAACTTCTGCATTTTTCTCATGTTTTCTTGCATTTCCTGCAATTTTGTAGTATTTCTTTTTGCATTTTTTCTAATTTTTTCTGCAAAAGTTCTACATTTTCTGCATTTTTTTTTTGTATTTTTCTACATTTTCTACCTTTTCTGGTATTTTCTGTATTTTTTCTGAAATTTCTATAATTTTTTGGTATTTTTGTATTTTCTGCGTTTGCCTACAATTTTTTTTTCTTTTTGCTTTTTTGCGTATACGGGTTGACCTTACCCATTTTTTGTCACATGGCAAATTTGAGAGAGATGATTCTCTCAAAAATGTTTTTTCAGATATACAGGTCAACTCAACCCGTTTCTGTCACGTGGCAATCTTATGAGAGATGATTTGTCAAAATGTTTTTTTTCCCATGTATAGTGTCAACCCACCCTGGTTCTTTCACGTGGCATCCTTGAGAGAGATTATTCTCTCAAAAATAGTTTTTTTCAAGTATATGAGTTGCCTCGACCCATTTCTACCACGTGGCAGTCTTGAGAGATGGTCCTCTCACAATTTATTATTTCGGTATATGGGTCAATCCGACCCATTTCTGCCACGTGACAACCTTGAGAGAGATGTTCCTCTTAAAAATTATTATTTCGGGTATACGAGCCGTCCTGACCCACTTTTGTATTTATGGGTGAAGATAGGTGGGTCAATATGGGTGAGGATGGTTAAGGATCAATATGGATGGATCAAGTGGATCAATACAAGGTTCAAAATATTGCAAAGTATTGGTCTGCCTTGGCCAATACATATCGTTTTGACAAAAATCCAATACACGAAACATGTATAAATCATTTGTTCCATTTCTTTTTGTACGTATCGACTGATACAAGCCTGTATCGAGCTTTTTCGGATCTATATCGACCAATATGGGCCTGAAACAATCTGAATATTTGCCAAGTACTCCAAGGCAAATATTAATTAGCCAATTACTCCAAGACAAATTTAAATATTAAATATTAAATTTGAATTTGAATTCCTAATTCAAATTTGAAACTTGGTCACTTGATTTTTACAACCACCAATAAGTAAATTTTCACAGTGACAAGTTTTTATTAATAAATATTAAAATTAATTATATTGGTTTTTGAAAATTCACATTCACATTTTAATTTTTTTGTGTTTTTTTTACATTTTAGTTATTCCATCATTTTTCAACGGTTACTAATTGTGTCCCGATACGTCACACTTTATAATATGTAAATATAATTAGTAATTTATTTTTTTAAGATTTATTTAAATTTTTTACCATACTTCTGTGTATCTTGATTTTTCGTCCATAACCATACATATTCAAAGTGTATTCCAATACATCTCTTAAAATTGTCATTCCGATACACTTTGCATTTCTGATACTTCGAACCTTGGGTCAATATGGGTGAGTCAAGGATTGATGATGAGTCATGATGGATTGATATTCAACCCTTACCCAACCCAACCCAACCCACCCATTTACCACCCCTAACCAAAACTACTATTTCAAGCTGTTAATCGTGAAGCATCTCAACCTAAGCTTAGCCCAACCAATTAGGGCGGAATCATCCGCTCACGATTATAAATCAATTTTCCAGGCTCACACTAATAATTAGGCAGAAACATTTTACGGGAATGAAACACCACAAAAAGGATAATGATAGAGTATTCAATTAGGGAGGGGTGGCCCAAGTCCCACTTATAAAAGTACATATCCAACATGGCTATTACAAATCTCATAGAAGTGAACCCTTACAAATTGCAACTAGAAGTGCTACATGTCATGAAAGAGTCTCCTAATCTGGTCAACAGTGGCCGGTATCAATGTGACAGGGCAGCGCTTATACTGTGGCAAGTAAGAAAGAGGAGAGGAAAAATTTAAGTAGGGATAAAATATTAACTGGATCTATTCTATCACTTGAAAAAAAAAGAAAAAAAACGTAACAAGTATGGAGATTTGCACCTGTGAAATATACTTGAATATGCAGGTGTAACAGAAGACAAACCCTGATACTACTACTACTGATGGATTTGCACGCTTCTGGGAGCACAGGGGGCAAATTGTTCGGTCGGGTGGCAAAGGAATCCCCTCTTTGGCAACCTGTTTCAAGCAAAAATAAAATAAAATAAACAACTTAACAGTGAAAGTTAAATTTCTCAGATTTTATATTCCAGCCATCTGTCAAGTAAATAGAAGTCAGAAATACTATTCTTTCTTTACAGAAATTGTCAGCCCTTGTAATGATGAAAATTTGCTACCTCCCCAGATCGACTAGTCTATTTAACAGACAACTAGGCGTTTCACATGTTTTAGTAATTTGATGTYAAGTCTTTGTACTTCAAAATCACACCAGAGCTAAAATAGACAAAAAATACCAAAATTGGATGCAGAAAAATGATGAGCTTACCTTAGGGGGTGGTGGAGGAGGGGGAGGGGGGTACACAGTTGGTGCTGACATTCTTTCCTCAGCAGATTGGTACCACCATTCCATCATCTGAACATTGCCAATTAAATATCATTACTTCCAAAATCAGATTGTCTCAAGTCTCTGACTTAGTCTACAGAAAGAAACAATGGCACGCTGTAATTTTCAAGGACTTTTTAATACTATGATATTTACCTATACCAAAATGACATCTTGGTTTTATCTATTAGTGGTGTCAAGAGAACATACCAGAAACCTGCAAACTCTAAAGTAAAATGCAGAGAGGTACCATAAGACCCATTGTCTTTGTATGAGTTATGGTAAATTAAGGTAATACATGCAAACTTAATTAATCATGGTACCTTATGGAAATCGGATTTGGTCCTCACAAGACCGTGCTCACACTGTTCGTGCAGTCCCTTGCAGACTTGCATTGGGAATATCTCCCCATGAAAAAAAGCATATAAGTATGGATATATTCCCAATGCATGGCTGTAAAAGGCTGTGCAAACGGTGTGAGCACTGAAACCAATCTCCTTGTGAGAGAAGGCATGGTTTGGGCTAAACCTGGGATACATGGTAGGCATCTCTAAGAATAATCCTGAGGTGGATAGTCCATGGAAATTCCTAGCTTTCATAGATCATCGTATGCTTATAAGTGCCAAAGACAATGAACAAAAAGTGTGCAGGTTAAAAAAATCTTTATATGGGTTGAAACAATCACCTTGGGCTTGGTTTAGTAAGTTCCACTTAGCAGTTCAACAGATGGGGTTCAAACAATGCCAGTCAGATCACACTCTATTTGTGAAAAAAGGTGAAGGGAAAATTGCAGATCTAATTGTGTATGTGGATGACATAGTGATCACAGGAGATTGGGAGGCTGAAATATGGGGACTAAAAAAATTCTTAGCCACTCAATTTGAGGTGAAAGATCTAGGCCCCTATGTCCACTCCTGTGTCTCATCCTCCTATGTCACCTATCTTACCACCTCCCTTGCATCCTACTTCTCAGTGTTACTCACAACAGCGACTTCACAGGGAGGTGGATTCCATTGCAGTAGAACCCACATCACTTCCTATCGGTTCCTTGGAGACTCCAGATTCGACTGACATGGACTCAGGTATTCCTCTTGATCCTTCAAATGGTAAAGTTTATATTAATTCTACTAATCCCATTACAGATGACCTGGACCTTCCTACTGCACTCAAAAAAGGGAAGAGAAAGTGTACTGCTCATTGTATCTCATAGTACCTATCCTACAATGGACTTTCTCCTTCTTATTGAGCTTTCCTTTCTTCTTTTGACTTTGTGTCTATACCCAAGGGAGATTGTGGATCTACCAGAGGGAGGCAAGGAGACTGTTGGATGCAGATGGGTTTATACAATTAAATACAAAGCAGATGGAAGTAAAGAAAGGTACAAGGCCAGATTGGTTGCAAAAGGGTACACTCAAACGTATGGCATTGATTACTTACTTAGAGACCTTTGCACTAGTTGCAAAGACGACTTCTGTTCGGATCCTTTCTCTCTTGCTGCTACATACTCTTGGCCCCTATTCCAACTTGATGTAAAAAATGCTTTTCTTAACGAGGATTTGCAAGAAGTGTATATGGATCTTCCTGTTGGTTTCTACAATGATGCTGAAAAGGGGAAGGTAATGCAGACTGAAAAAGTCACTTTATGGTTAAAACAGTCTCCTTGGTGTCAGTCTTGATTGTTTATGTGGATGATATTGTAGTCACAGGAAATGACCTGAGTGAGATTGACAGTCTGAAGAAGAATCTACACAGAGAATTTGAAATTAAGGATCTTGGGGAGCTAAGGTATTTCTTGGGCATTGAGGTTGCAAGATCAAAACATGGAATTTTTATTTCTTGAAGTATGTTTTGGACCTTTTACAAGAAACATGGAAACTTGGAACAAAGGCAGCCAATATTCCTATTGATCAGAATCGCAGAATTAATGTATCAGAAGGTGAGTTGGTGAAGGACATTGGGAGATATCAGAGACTTGTGGAGCGACTGCTATATTTGTATATGACAAGACTAGACATCTCCTATGCAGTGAGTGTGGTGAGTTAATACATGCATGCCCCACGAGTCCATCATTGGGAGGCTGTTGACAGGATTCTTGCTTATCTGAAGGGACACCCAGGCAGAGGCATACTATTTGCTGATCATGGACAGTTGAAGCTAGAGGCTTATACAAATGCTAATTGGGTAGGAAGCCTTGATGACAGGAGATCTACATTAGGAGTTTGCACTCTTGTTGGGGGTAATCTAGTCTCATGGAAAAGTAAGAAATAGATAGTTGTGGCAAGGTCAAGAGCAGAAGCTGAATACAAAGCCATGGCACATGGAGTTTCAGAGCTTTTCTGGATCCGCTCCTTGTTAGGAGAGATTGGTGTTGAGGCAGAAGTTTGTCTTTTGGGGAGAGATTGGTGACTTCAGGGGAAGTTTGTCTTCCATACATTGCTTCTGATTTGCAACTTGCTGATGTTCTCACAAAAGGTGTTGCAAGGAACAAGTTGGAGCATGATCTACGCAAGTTGGGAATGTGTGACATTTACTCCCAACTTGAGGAGGAGTGTTGAGTTGGGCCGATTTCAAGTTATTGGGCCCAATCTTTTATTTTTATTTTTAAGTTGTTAAGTTAGGAAGTTATTGGGCTTTAGGCCCATTAGTTTATGTTATTTAAGTTGTGACTGTTAAGCTACTTAAAGTATCCGCCCTACTAAGGGCATTCTTGTAGTCTGCCATTCTTTTATTTTTAAGTATATAAATCAAAGAGGGGTTGGCAGCCATATCATTCAATTCTGGCTTTATCCCATTCTCTTTTCTTCTTCTCTCTCTTTCTCTCTTGCTTGCTGAAATCTCTTAGTGTCTTCTACTTTTCTTCACAAAGTATACATCAGAATTAGTTATCAGCTATTTCTACTGTTACACTCGAGAAATCGGAAAAAGCTTGTGGTAGTTTTCTCAAATTTGATGATAGGAATAGGACTTGGAATAAGTTGGACTCTGCTAGACTGTTGGTAGAAGTGTGGAATGTCTCAGACTTTCTGAAAGAGATAGAGTTGCTTTTTGCTGGGGAGAAATACAATATGAGGTTAGTTATAGAGGGAGAGGATGGCACTTTTTTTTTTTTGCAACGATGCAGAGTAATAATCGGAAAGAGGGATGTTTCCTTGGGGCTAAGGAGAACAGTTCTAGGAAAGGAAGATGAACAATCCGTTGAAGGAGGAAGATGATTGTGAGGTGGATGATGGGAAGGGCAGTTGTGGAATTTCAGATGGAGAGAAAGGTTCAGATTTAAACAAGGAAGGACACATAGCGAGGGAGAAAGATAAGGAGGGGGAGCTCGGTTCACATGTGGTAGAAGGGGAAGTTAGAGGGACACAAGTGGCGGGAGGAATTAACTTCTAATCTCCTATAGGTGGGGCTCACAGGAGTGGGGAAGCTGTGAGGGAGGAAGAGTTGGCGAAGTTGGGGGTAAAGAACGGGAGGGGCGTTATTGGTAAAAGGCAGTTTAAGAGGGGTTTCTTGAAAAATATTTCAAAAGGTGAGGACCAAAAGGATGTTTGGGTTTGGATGGTTGCTAAATATGGAGAAGGCAAAAAGATGATGGAGTTTTAGCGAAGGAGAGGAAATAGGGACCTCGTAAGAGCTTCAGGTGCCACATGAGTTGCTTCATTGTCCAAAGAGAAGGAAGCTCGCCGTGGGGCTAGCAAGCAGGGTCTTAAGATGGGAGAGGAAGGAAGGCTAGGGACTGAGTTTTGTCGGGGGAAGTCAAAGACCGACTTTTCCTAGCAGGTGACCATAGTTTCCTTGGCTCTGACACTTTTCTTAGTAGGGGAAGAAGATAGGACCTTGGACCCACTGATTTGTTTAACAAAGGATAGGGAAGGAGCTACTGATGGTGCTTCTGAGTTTAGTGACAAGTGGATCGACCAAGAGGTAAGCTCCCCTATCTCGGATGTTGGTCGAAGGTCTGAACACAGGTCTAAAGAGGGATGGGGAAAGGAGCTTGGGGAAGACGCATAGTCTCTAGAGGGTCCAAAAAAAGGCCATTTGGGGAGTTAGGAGGGAATGAGAGAAAAGAAAAGGTATACAACAGAAAAAAGAGAGTTCTTGATTCTTCTTAGGGGGCGGAAGGAGTGGGAGTAAGGGAGGTAGGGCAAGAAGGTTGTTTGGAGGGGAAGAGACGGAAAAGACAGGAAGAGGGGGAGGTCAGAGGGGGTATAGTCCAGGATTCAACTCTGGTCCGAAATGGTGTTGTTGAAATTGACAAGTTGGTAGAGAGGGAGGTCATTGTAGGCAAATCCTTGGGTTTGTTTTTCTGGGAAGGGGAAGAATTTGCAAGGAAGGCCTTCGAACATAGTGAGAAAATTAGGAGGGAAGAAAAAATAAAGACAAAGAAAAGCGTGGGAAGGACAAGCAGTGGGATTCAATAGGGGGAAGAGGAGGAAGTGGGTGAAGAGTAAAGGTGAATCTTTTTCTCTTTCATTGTCCAGAAGGAAGAGCAAAATGCAGGTGATCAGCTGGAACGTAAGAGAGAGGGAAAGAAGGATGACATTGAGAAATTTAATAGGGAAAAATAGTTTTACAGTTGTGCAGCTGCAGGAGACGAAACAAGAATTTTTTAGTCTGGGCCTGAAGGAGGAAACTTGGGGAATGAACAGTGTTGGGGGATAATTTTTGGAATTTCTTGAGTTACAAACTTGTAATCTCGACCAGTTTGTATTTCTTGATTTTTCTGGTGTAGTGTAATTGGCATGTGTGCTAGGATGCAGCTGGGTCATGGGTGCTATCTTAACACCCCCAGGTTGTATGGCTCTTTTTATTTTAAAGAAATCTTTTATTCTAATTCTTCAAAAAAAAAAAAAATGCAGGGCCATGCCATTGCAATTTGTTAGTGAGGTCACTATTAGGGTTTTTTATAGTTTCAAATTCATTAGGTCAGTAAGTTAGAAGTTATAGTGTTTTCTGTTTTGGGTGTGCAGTGGAAATTTCATAATCATGGTGAACAAACAACGATATAAGCAACCCCAATTACTTGTATGTATAGT